GTTAGTTCACTGTTCTACATGTTCGTTTAAATGAGCAGGTTGTGGTTTTTTTTTTGAGTCCCTGTTAAATAAGTGGCTCTCCTCTGCTCATATTTCATTGTGCCATGGCATAACACTGGCTTTCATTATTTTTTCTTCCTCCTCCCTTCACTACTTGTTCGTATTGCCTGTTAATTTACTTATTTCATTTTTCTGTCATGGTTCCTACTTCTTTTTTCCCCACTGTTGTTCCCTCACCTGGTCAGGGTGGTGGTAATAACGAGGAGGCATTTTCTGAAGTGGTGAGGTCCTTCCAGCTAAGAAAAATCTAGCTGAAACTATGTAGGTTTCCATTTTAGTCTTAAAACTTGCATGCAGTTATACCAGACCCAACAGTGATGTTTGAAACTAAATGGCTTTAAAAAGAAAACAATTTTCATTTTTCATCAAAAGCTTCCATCCTAACAGTTTTAGAATCCTCAAATATTGTTTATAGCAGTATTCTGGAATGTATTACCCAATATAAAAAAAATTCAGGAAACCAACTCTCTGTCCAAGAGAGCTTAGAAAGGAAGACCAAATCCTGCAATCAATTGATGCAGACAAATGCCACTCCATTAATTTAATAACAGTTTTCTGCAATCTGCTTTCAGGGCTGAATCTTACACAAACAGCACGGAGGAGATTTAGACACAGAGTAACATAATCTTGGTGTACGTTTTCTGCTGTCTTTCAAGTGTTTGCTATCCTTACCCTATGCAATCACTCCTTGTGCCCTGCCCTGCCCTCCTATCAAAGGATGTGCATACTGTAGATATTTCCTAGCTATCTAAGTGCCAAGGTAGCTAAAATTGAGGAATTCAAAAATTGCTGTCTATATAGCTGTTAAACTAATTTATTCCACCACTTTGAAGGAAATAGGGTTTTTTGTGGTGCTTTCATGATTTGATAAGAGGGCTGTAGAATTCATTCCATCATAATTCAAGGTGCTAGACATCTTGTATTCCACTTCAGTCCCCATTGAGTTGCTAACAATTGTCTGCAATCAAAGCACTTGTGGATGTCCTGCACAACCTTTTACTTCCTTTTTTCTTAAAATCTGTAATTTGATTTCACATTAAAAGACTTTCCTCAATATACATCTAAGATCTGTTGATCCCAAGCTACACAAAAGTTTTTTGTTGAAAGATACAGCAGGTCTTTGACTCAAAGTATATCCTAGACCATGATCTGGGGTAAATTCTTACCTATAGTGTATTTAACCCTGTGGAAATGCCATGCAGTGAGTCACAGGATGAACAAATATGAGCTGCAGCAAATAAAGTCCTACATAAGGATGTAAAGCAGTAAGAGACTATTACTTGCCCCTCCCATTTGCTTTTTTCTTGCAATTAAGTGAAATTCATGCTGTATCAAGAGGTAGTTTTCTAAGCAACTTATTACACTCAGTTTCTGTACAATATTGATCATTTAATATTTTTTAACAGCCAAGAGCAGTATAATTGGCAGGCCATACACTATTGCTTTTGTTGATAAGCTTACTACTTTGGATTCTTTTAGATATACAGCAGTTGAAGCTATTATGAACCTGTAAATCCCAGGAGATTGTCACTATGCAAGAGTGAATTCCATTGCCCATGAAAAGCAGAGTCAAGGTACACCTGTGTGAATAACTTTTCCTGTGTATGTATCTTTATGCTGAGAGGGTGATTGCTAATAGGATGGTGTGTGGTGCATGGGCTGTGACATACTAGATCTGAAAACCTAAAATTACAAGTGAAACCAAGATAAAATATATTGAAACTTTGTTCAGGAAATTTCTACAAGGGTCAACTATATTTGTTTTATGTTACATGGATTTATAGCTTTACAGGAGTTGGAAATGGAAATCATGTATCAAAATGAATTATTACTAACTTTCTTTTGCAAATGCGAGAATAAAATCTTATCAGATACATGGAAACAACTCTCATCTGAGTGTTTCTGATACTATTGCATCTTATCCAAATGCTCAAAAACTCAGGAAGCATCACCTTCATAGAACTGTATTCATGCCTGCCTCTTGAGTTGCAGTGAAAAGAATATTTTTTTAAGCGGAATTTTGCCCTTGTTACTCATATTACTTGTGATACAGGGCTACTGTTCTTGGGCTAGCATAAATCAGCATTTCTTCTGTCTCTATTGACTTGAGCGATTGGATCACTTGAGAACCTGTCTTGAAATTCTTACTCCATCTGAAAGCTTATTTAGCATAATCTATATATTTACAGCAAACCATTTGAAAAACACTTTAGAGTTCTCGGTACGTGGCCTGGGATAGTGCTTGTGGTGACAGGAATATACTGCTACAGTCAAAACTTGACAAGACAAGCAATTTATGATGTTGCTTATAGCCTATTTCTGGCATAATGTCACATGCTGGTCAGTAAGGATTGTGGGTCATTTATTTAGAGTACTGCAATTTTGGGGGGGTATTCTTTCACACTCCGCAAACTTGAAAGCTAAGAATCAAAATAATCTGCAATTGGCATTTAAGATATGACCGTCTTTGCTGGCTTCTCTGTGAGATTACAGTACTTGTAATCTAATTGAGATATTTTTAGAGCTAGAAGCTTTCTATCCAGCTGGGAACCAGGTTGTTTCCCCATTGTAAGACGCGCAAAATCTTAGACAGCAATCCTTAAACATGTTACATGAATAGTTCTGCATCTTGCCAATACTGGTGTTCACACCAGTTATTTCCTCTCCTTTTCAATCAAACACACAGACACAAGTGAGAAAAAGAGGGGAACGATTTCTTTGACAAGTTGCTTAAAATAAATAGAAGATTTTGAAGGTGCTGAGATATTTTCAATGACAAAGACCAGACCCTGTGGTCTGAGAAAAAGTAGTACTCACAAAAGTGCATAGCAAAGCATGAAACCATTTGCAAAAGGAAAAGTATTGTATGACTTTGTACTCTATGTCAATAAATAACGACGATACCTCTATCGCATAGGCTTGTTTGGGCACACAGAGTCTGGAATGGTGTTAAGGCAGTGTCACTGGTATAGACCCATTTAGGCAGTGGTGCATTTACAGCTAGCAAAAATAATGAGTTTTGCAAATCATCCCAAGCATGGCTCAATAGAGCTTTTACACTTCCAAAACCCAAGGATATACATTAATTTTCCATGCATAATGCACCATAGTATCCATAAGTATTGAATTCGTTTGAGATATGTTCCATTCCTTTTTGCTGGAATAGCCCGACTGAGAGGAGGTTTTACTTACGTGTGGCACAGTGGTACTCTGGGCCCAGAACGAGTGTTCCCTGATTATTAGTGCATACACCAGATCAGAGAACAAATGCTAGATACATTGGCATAGCTTGAATTCTTTGGGTATCCTATGCTAACATTCCCATGGAAATATGATACTTTTCTGTCCCAGATTTTTATGTTGATATGTAAATCAATGATTCCTGTCAGTCCAACACTATTACTAGTCTTTAGCCTCAGGTTCTTGTTGATACCTGGTTCATATTCAGACTGAATGAAACATTTCTGTGGTGCAATGGTAATTAATAGCAGAGACTCAGAAATGGCTCAAATCAGAAGTGTAAGATGTAGTCCCAAGTTAGCACTTGCAGGTGAGTTTTCACAGAGCAGGATTAAAGTGTTTTACCTTGAGACCTCCTGTTCTTATATGATTGCAGCAGGAAAAAAAAGTGCCTGTTATACATCTAAAATAAAATGATTCACTGCACAGAGTATCCACCATCTTCCTTTCAGGGCTATATTTCAAGAGGTTTGGCAGTGAGGCAGGCTAGCTGTGTGAGAACAGAAACCTCCACTGGTGAGCCGGGAGACTGGCTCTGTAACATCAGCCGTGGAACAGAGAACTGAAAAATGGGGGTGGGGTGGTGGTGGGTGTGTAATTTTAACAAATGCTTAAACATTCTTTAACTTAGTTGCTTGGAGTTTAGGGTTTTGGTTTTTTTTTTTTTTCTTTTGAATACTCAAATGAGACATTTTATATTTATCATGCACACACAATCTCATCTGCTTCATCTGGAAAAGTGTATTTTCTCTCTCTGTGTAATTCCAATTGTTAAAAATGGGACAAGGTAGTGAAAATACATCTTCGTGAATTCCCCCCAGACCTCCAAAAGGATGGGCGTTTTTTTCGTGGTGTGGTTTTTTCTTTTTTTTTCGTGTGTCCCTCCTAGAAGCAGCTACTTGATCTCAAAGGCACAACGTGGTGTTTTAAGGCGCTGACAGTGGGGAAGAGGGAGGCACGCTGTGTTCCCCCCACGGGAAAAGCCGCCGGTGTTTGGCGGGGGGAGCCGCTCCTCACCGTGGGGCGAGGGGCTCCCCTGGCCCGGCTTCAGCGGCAGGTGGGTGCCGCCGTGCCAGGCGCGGGGCTTCCCCTCTCTATAGCGCTCCAGCCAAGGGAGCTGCCGGTCCGTATTAAATGGCTGCCTGCTTTTCGGGGCTGTCGGCTGTTTTAGGGGTTTATCGTTGATTTTTTTTTTTTTTTTTTTTTTTTCCTGCCATGTCTCCCCCACCCCGCTTCTGCAGGTGAGGCTTCATCCCACCACCTCGCTGTACGCCCCCACCTCAGCCCTTGCCGGGGAACCGCCACCCCCTTCCCGGCCCTGCACCCCTCCCAGCTGCTCCCGGGCCGGGTGCGTCTCTGCGTGGGCTCGGGGCCGTGCACGCCCGGGTCACCCCCCCGGCCGTGAAAGGCGGCTACCTCCGCTTTCTGCGAAGCACAGGCGGCGGCAGCAGGCGGTGGCCCGGCCCGGGGGCGGCAGGGCAGGGAGGGGACTGTGCAGTGCGTGCGGGACTGAGCTTGCCGGGGAGCCAGCGGGTTCCTCTGCCCGCCTGGCTCTCTGTGCAACACCCCCACCCTGATCTCTCCTCCCCCCACCCTGTGGTGTCTTTTTTTTTTTTTTTTCTCCTTTCCCTCCTCCACCCTCCTGCAGCGAGTTAAATATTTCTTTTGTTAATTGACGCCCCAAGTGTTCCCAATCCCTTCCCCGCACAGCCCGGGCCGGCCGAGGACGTGTGCACGCCCAGATCCGCTCGGTGAAGCAGCACAGATCCGCGGGGCCGAGCGGGTATGTGCGTGAGGAGGAGGAGGTGGTGGTGTAAAAGGAGCTGCGAGCACAAACCAGATTTGCGGGGAGTAATTTAACTCCGGTGTTTGTTGTTTTTCGGGGGTTTGGTCTTTTCCTTCTCTTTCTATCTCTTTTTTTCTGCTCAGGATTTAAATGTCACTCAAAGCATCCCCAAATCAGCTTTCTGCTCGTCTCCTGTTTCTTCCGAGGCATTAATTGGATCACACGCTGCATTTGAAGAGCTTGGGTGTTTTACCCACGAAGGTAAGTGGGTTTATGAGCCTTCACCGGGTCTGGATGGTCACTAAAAGCTCGACTGCCTTCCAGGGTGGTGTTTTTCTTCCCCTTCTCCCCCATCCCCGTGGCCAGGCTTAGCTCTACCTGAGGAACTTGCATCCCTGGGTTAAACACCGGTCGATGTATGGAAAATGCGCCGGCGGGCCCGGCTGGGGTGGAGCGGGGCCGCGGGGGCTCCGCGCCCGCCCCTCAAGCACCCGCAAATGACCCGTGGGAGCCGGTGGAGGCAAGCCGGCGACACCCCGCAGCTGTTCCCCTGGAACAGCGCCTGGCAGCACAGTAAGGAAAGATACAGCCTAATGCCCTCTTACAAGAAACTATTCGTCATCGTTTCTTTTTTTTTTTCCTTTTCTGTGAGAAATACTGTAGGCGCCCATCTCCCCTCCTCCCCTACTGCCCGCCCCCGTCGCAAGCACCGGCTCCTTTGCCCGCACCTTGCCTCGCTTCAGGCGGTTCTTTCCAGGGACCAAAAAGTTAAGCTGCCCCTTTTCCCCCCACCTGCCCCTGGCGCCGTACGTACTCTATGCATTCCCCTTTTTAACCTATTCCCCCTCCGTCTAATCCGAGGCCGTCCAGCCCCCGCCCCCCCCCACCTCCCCCGCTTTAAACTAGGTTGCAAAGCCGCTGTACCCTGTAACTCCTGAAACTTCTCTCCTTGTTGTGATTTATATTCTATACTAACAAAAAGGACAACTAAAATATACTCGATCCTCCTGTGGATGACTTTTTAAAAAAATAATGCATTTCCTTCTTCCCCTTTAATTTTTTTTTTTTTTTTTTTTGGCAAGGAAATTTGCTCCATCTCCAGCAGCAACCACTGCTCCTTTTGATGTTGTGGTACGCCGTGCGCATGCGCTTCACATTAGAATTACTGCACTGGCCAGAATAAGTTGGATCTCTTCTTCTCTTCACTGAAACCCTAAATCATATCAAAAGCTAAAGGGATGCTGAGAGTCCGGAAAAAGGGTTACTTCGGGATTTGGTCATTCCCTTTAATAATAGCCGTGGTGTGTGCACAGAGGTAAGTGATGAAGGTATCTGTTTTGCTTTACTTTGGATTGCACTGCATGCTGCTGCTGAGAGGAATGTACAGCTTGGGTCTGAGAAATAAGAAATAATATAGTATTATTCTTTTTTTTTTTTCTCTAGTGTCAATGACCCTAGTAATATGTCACTGGTAAAAGAGACCGTGGATAGACTGCTTAAGGGCTATGACATTCGCTTGAGGCCAGATTTTGGAGGTAATTTGAATGCTTTTGAATAAGAGAGATTACATATCCGGCTGTGTACCTTTGGCGTGTGTGGCTTCTGAGCGTGCTGTGGGTGCTGTTGCTTTGGGGTGTGTGTGTTGCCATTTTCTCAAGCTGATCCAAAGTTAAGCCCATTGTTACTCAATTTTCATAACACAGGATGCTGTTAATGCGATCACTTAAATCTCTGGCATATTTGTAATCGGTCCCTCATTTTGTGTGTGTGCTCATACTTTGTTAACCTGCAATTAAACCCTTGTTTAACTGGTTTTATCGAGATGCAAATCTCTTAAGTTTACCCAACGTTTGTTCCTCTCAGCCTAATGTGCCTGTGATCACAGTTACTATTTTTGAGTACAAGATGTGCTGTTAACTGATACAAAAATGTCATTTAACCCCCTGCGTGCTCCTACTCTGAACTAGTTTGTTTATTCCGGAGGTGTTCGCAGTCGGTGTCCCCTTGCCCCCTTCCATCAACCCCCCCCCGACACCCACACCTCCCCCGCCCGGGGCTCGCTGGCCACTGTCCCCCGGGCTGCCCCTTCCGCCAAAGCGCAGGGCTGAGGGTGGCGAGGTGGGTCGCGGCCGCGGAGGCCGGCGCCGGATCCGCGCATCCCGGCCTGGGGGG